GAGATAATAACATGCACAAAAACAAAACAGAGCAAAACCAAGCCACAAAATAAGACAAAACAACAAGCCAATGACAAAAAACACAACAAGAAGAAAGAAAAGCTTGTAGTTTGTTAAAGGACTGTTTGTTGACCTTTAGGCGTGTTTTCCAGTTGAGTCTGTTGGGGGGTCAAGCTCTGGCCCCAAAGTCTATTTTTGGTATTCTCTGGGGACTTCGTTGCTCTGTTCCCCTTGCTGTTCTGTTAAATGTCCTCAGTGTTTTGCCTCGGTGTGGTGGGATTTTTCTGCTTTATTTAAAGCAGCCTTTTTGAACGAGTGTGATGTTCAGAGCAATGACAATTGGTGCTTATTTTATACACCCCTCTATTTTAGACGGCGTGGTCTGGTGGCATAATGGGTGGCAAATTGGGCTGCTAACCACCAGATCAGCAGTTCAAACTCACCAGCCTCTCCATGGGAGAAAGATGAGGCTTTCCACATCTGTAAAGAAGCACAGTCTTGGAAACCCACCGTGCTGGCAGTTTTACTCTGCCCCATGGGGTCCCTTTGAGCCACAATCGACTTGGCATCTGTGAGTTTGGGACCTGATGTAGGAGTCACACCATTTCACAGGGGCTTTCAGTCATAATTTTTTTTAGTTGTCTGAAACACGCTGTGGCTCGCTGCACAGGCCCTGCTGGCCTCTGGGGAAATGGGGTGGCACTGTGACTTCACGACTTCTGAAAGGTTGGAAGTTTGAGGGAGGCAGAGAGCACAGTGGAAGACAAGCACCCAAATGCTGCCAGGCTGCCAGCTGGGAGAAGAGATGACTCCCTGGTGTTGCTCTGTTTAGGGAGTAGCTGATCCATCCCTCCAGGCTCTGGAGACCCGGCAAGACGAGATTCTGCGATGCCTGTACGAACTGAAAGCCGCTGTGGATGGTCTCTCCAAGATGATCCAGACGCCAGACGCGGACTTGGACGTGACAAACATCCTCCACGCGGATAGGCCCTCCCCTTTAACGGCCAGCAGCCTGGACTTAGATGCAGTACTTGGAAAGGTGAGTTCCTTTTGAAACGGGGAGCTGACTCTGTCCAGTGTGGTGAGTGCCCAACATCACCCACCAGTGGTGATCACACTGCCTGCAGGTGATGAGCCCAGCACGTTCTGCTTTTCCAAGGTGGAGCAAGGATCCCCTGGGGTGGTTTTGCTCCCTTTAGGTCGGTGGTGATACCTTCGCACTGGACATATCCATGCGTGTGTGTGACCCACGCTCTGCAGCCGGTTCCTGACCACCCAGGTCTAGGGACGGAGAGCAGGGAGGCTTCCAGGGCTGGGAGAGGTAGCAGGGTTCCTGCCTCAAACTGCACCAGGCAGAGGGCAGTCCCTGCCAGGGGTGGGCACCAGGCCAGTTGCCCCAGAGCCCTGGGGACACACATCTCCGCTGTTTGCTCAGTGGGGCTACTAGAGACTCAGAGAGCTACTTCAGCTCCTTTCATGGTGCCTGGACTCTCAGGCTTGTGCTGCTCACTAATCCTCCAAGCTCCACCATTTCAGCTTGCACACGCCGGGCTCCAGTTGAGGTGCTGTGTCACCGTCAGCTTGTATCAGGCAGCTCTCATTCGGCTAGTTGGCTTCAACTCATTTTGGACACGCCCTGATAGGCCAAGAACAGTGTGGGACAAAATGCCCTTTATACACATCTCTGGACTAGGTGATCAGTTAGTGCAGTGGTTCTCAACCTTCCTAATGCCGTGACCCTTTCATACAGTTCCTCATGTTGTGGTGACACCCCACCCCCGCCAACTGTAAAATTATTTTCGTTGCTGCTTCAAAACTGTCATTTTGCTACTGTTATAAATTGGATGACCCCTGTGAAAGGGTCTTTCGACCCCCTTCATCCCCAAAGGGGTCAAGACCCACAGGTTGAGAACTGCAGAGTTTAAAGACCTTGGTGTGAAGGCGGGCACTAGGGATACCTTTGAGGTCCTGGGGACCTCTGCAGACACTGAGGCCTCTGGGGGAGGACACCTGACCTGCCCCCCACCCCACCCTGTCCCTGTCCCCCCACCAGCCATCACATAGTGCTGTGACAGTGACACTGGCAAGGTGCCTGGAAGACTTCCCAGAGCAGCTGGTGCCGAATGGCTGGCAAGATCCCACCTGGCACGGCATGCGGGGAACGAGGATGTGAGAGAGCTGTAGAAGCCCTGCTTGATGGGAAGGACCAGAGATCAGAGTCAGAAGTGAGGGCAAGTACAAAAGGGAGCACACTGCACTTCAAAAGTCGGCGAGTGTGGGGTTGTTTAGCAGCCCTCCAGACCAGACGTTCCTGCAAGGGGTGATTCACAGATGGCCTGGGTGGGGGGG